TTGAAAATAATAATGCAAAAAAGCTGAATAGACCACAAAAATATAAAATAAAGACATAATTTAAACATCACATAAAAATATATATCATGTATCACGTGCATAGTGATGTAGAACGTTATACGAACGGGAAGAAAATTGAAATTCTCTCTCAAGAACAAAACGAACTATCAGATAAAATTTTCCAATTCAACAACCTTTCCTTCTTTCCATAGCTTCATTCTAGAGCTTCTTTCATGCTTCTTTGTCCTCCTTAACCACCAGGACCACGACCTCCACTTCCTCCGTGAACTCCCCTGCGCACACCCCGGTTGCCGGCGGTACAGTTCATCTGCAAATCCCAGACCACTGATTGAATTGCTGCAAAGACACATGTACACGTCTCACAGCGGAATTAACACCAAACATACTACCCAAAACCCTAATACTAACTTCTCCAACAAGACAAGAATCCTTACTAAGTATTAAACAATATTAAATATCTAACTTATTCTCCAAGATACTTATAATAATAATAATAATAATAATAATAATAATAATAATAATAATAATAATAATAATAATAATAATAATAACAATAATCTACACCATTCTCCTCCGGTTTGGAAGGCTTCGCCCTCGAAGCCAATACGCACCCGTGGCTGGCGTATAGTGGCGAACCCATGGTAGTAACCCCCGTCGTTTCCCCCGGTCGAACACGAAAGTTGATGTTCTAGCTGTTGGGGACCTCAAGCTCGAGGAGGAGGAAATGGTGGTTAAGGAGGACAAAGAAGAATTGAAGAAGCTCCAGAATGAAGATATGGAGATGAAGGAAAGGTTGTTGAATTTTGTTGAATTGGAAAATTTTATCTGATAGTTCTCGTTCTGTTCTTCAGAGAGAATCTCAATTTTCTTCCCGTTCGTATCACGTTCGCACGTGCACTTTACTAGTATTAAATATTAATATAAATAGAGCTTTCTAGTTTCAAAACTCTTTCCGACGTTAAGCTCGACGATTGATTGATTGTTCGTGAAAAATTGAAACTATGCAATCTACTCCGTGAAAGTAATAGACCTAAATTACAGCTCCCGCTCTACAAATACCCCTTAGTATGTCCAAAGATGGGCCAGCTGCGAAAATTTCAATAAAAACCAGTCAAAATCATCATCAAAAGCAGTAAAATGTTTTTACTTTTTAAACGGTAACACTAGTCAAACAAGCTTTACCGATTAAACTGAGTCGGACTGGCATCAGCAACCATCACAGATAGATTTTCGCGAGAACCATCACTTGTCCTTGCTAAACCCAATTTCACCATATTTCCAGTCTTGTCCCATATTAGATCAAAGAACTGGGAAGAATATATATGTTGTCAATATTTTCTAAGACAAAATAATAAACAAACAGAAAAGAAAATTATTAACAGCAATATATACCTGTAAGTTACCAGTAATAGCAACTCCATCACATTCAACTATAACATCATTTGGTTGCATGTTTACAGAACCAGCTGGGGAATTCGGAGCAACCTGGAGGACATTTAATGACGAAAGAGACAATTTTCATGTGATAAATTACAATTGATTTGACAAGCGAAATATTTATGCAGTTTTGAGCTTTTATGTGCAACATTAACATTTTAAGTTTTAGAAGTTACTGAATTTTGTTTCCATGTCCAACAAAGATGTTCTCTTTCTCAAATTTAGGGATTAATAATTTGTTCACTGAAAGAACAAGCTCGGCTCATAAAAAAATTAACTACAAAAATAGTTCTTACCTCATCAACTAGAACGCCCATTTTTATACTCGGAAACTTTTGTATGATCTTCTCCCAGGTACATACTTCAACAGTAAAGAGATTACTCAATTCCATCCCAAGCCAAGGTCGACAATAGTTCCTACACCAAAGCTCTATTTAGTATTTAATAGAAGTATCTACAACACATGGGATATCTAAAACAAAATGAAAGAATAATTTATGAATAATCGACTATTGCATTGTGGGATGAAATTAAAACTTCGATCAATATCTAGTAGAAAATTGGTCACTAATTGAACCATCAACCTTGTGCCTAACAAATTATGGATATTCTCGACTGGATCAATGTTTTTTAAATTCTAAAGAAGTATGTAACTTACTTATATTTCGTATAATGACTCCACCATTTGGAAACTATGTTGATAGGTAGAAAAGAAGTGAAATCGAAATGAAAGAAGTTGACTCCGATCACCTCTGCATTCCGGTTGATCATTGGGCCCCCAATGCCACACTATCACGTGAATGAAGAACCAAAAAATTAGAAA